CACTTCCATACATCGCTACTGGAAAAACCATAGCTTTAACTATGCGGACCTATGGGAAGTGATAGTACCACTCTATTCTGCTTTGGTCAGACCTCATGTGGAGTATTGTGTCCAGTTCTGGGCACCTCAATTCAAGAAGGATGTTGACAACCTGGAACGAGTCCAGAGGAGGGCGACCAAAATGGTCAAAGGTCTGGAAGCCATGTCCTATGAGGAGCGGCTTAGGGAGCTGGGAATGTTTAGCCTTACAAAAAGAAGATTAAGAGGGAACATAATAGCCATGTTTAAATATTTGAAGGGATGTCATGCTGAGGAAAGGACAGGCTTGTTTTCCACAGCTCCAGACACTAGGATAAGGAGCAATGGTTTCAAACTACAGGAAAAGAGATTCCACCTAAATTGCAGGAAGAATTTCCTGACAGTCATAGCTGGTCGGCAGTGGAATATGGTGCCTCAGAGTGTGGCGGAGTCTCCTTCTTTGGAGGGTTTTAAGCAGAGGCTGGATGGCCATCTGTCAGGAGTGCTTTGATGGAGTTCCTGCATGGCAGGGGGTTGGACTCGATGGGCCCTGTGGTCTCTTCCAACTCTGTGATTCTATGATTCTATGAAATGTCCTGAAACAGGAAGCATTGACAATTAATTGTAATGAAAAGTACATTTCTAATCATATATTCATTTTGTATCTTTTTCAGTTGTACTATGGAAAGCCCTTCAGACCTCTGTTGTACTGAAGAAGGATGTAGCAGCAGCATAGTTCTTGAAAAGCAAGTTTTCAGATCCAAAGTGCCAGAATCACATGTTCAGCTGGCTTGTAGCCTGCAGTACTGTGCTTTTCCACTGAATGGGAATGAACTTTGCATCCTGAATACTACTGATGACACTGAGCAGCAGGTTAAAAATATAATTCTTTGTGGGTATTCAATTTATGTTCTAAAGGAACCAGTGTTCAAAGGAATGCAATTCATATGACTTGTATATGTGCAAATCCTTTGAAAGGAATGGAAACAGTGATTAGGAAATTATACCCAATATTAGTAAATATGACATTAGTTTAAAAGTCAACTTTAAATATGGTCTTTCAATGGTGTAAGCTGCTTTGGGTCCTTATTGAGGAGAAAGGTAGGGTAAAACATTTAAATAAATATTCAAACTTGAAGGGTCAATTTAGTTATTGTTTATTATAGCCAATGAACAATGTAAAGTTTAGTGCTTAGGTTCAGGTTAAAATTATGAATGATGGCCTATACTTGCTCCCTTATATCTCATTTGAATCAATGTCTTTTTCATAATGCCTTTACTGTATTATATTCAAAGAATGAAGAGGAAAACAAATTCTGTATTCTGAGTACAGGCCTGGAATTCTAAGTTTCTTGCTGAAGCAGAAAAGAGAATATTATTCTAAGGCATTCTAAGCCACTTGCCATTGAAATGTTGACAATACAGCTGAAGATTAGAGTGCTGTTATTTTATCTGTGTATTACTGTATATCTACAGATGTGCTGAATGGGAAGGATGCTCTTTTCAGAGATTACACTTCCTCCATGGTGTCCATCATGTGATCCTGAATTGCTTCAGGTGGTCTGTGGAGTAGGTTTGGAGGTGCATTGGAAGCTACAGAACTGAGGGGTTATTGCTGAAAATTATCTTCTCTGTATTCCACTGGTAGAAGTGTACGATCAGTGGAATGGCCACACTGGATACAATTATATACTTATCTTTTGCTGTATGTCTAAAATGTTTGTATTTAAATAATATAGTTAAAATCCTGTTGTGCTGCTATGTAAAAGGTGTAATTTCTGGACGTGAATTAACTCAAGTGAAGATATCTCTACAGACATTATTATCTGTTGCATGCCAACTCAGGTGACTCAATATGTAACAGATAATGTCTGTGGAGATTCTTGAACTTGAAGTAGTTGCTGTCTCAGTGTTATACCTTTTGCTTAGCAGTGCAATGGGATTTCAGCCTACAAATTGTTCAGAGACCAATGCACCACTTTTATAATAATGAATACTTTGGCTAATTTAAAACTTTTAAGTGAATACTTAGGAAGAAACTGGACTTTCCTAGCTATGTATTTTAAATGCATTTCAAATTACTCAATGCACCTTGTGTCAGCCATTGCATTTAACAGGTCATCACCATTCAATTACTGCACTGGCATTTGGGAGCAAACTCAGTCCACTACTCATTTGCTCTGCTTCACGTGACTATGTGATAATATGGAATCTGGATGAGTGTATGAAGAAGGTGCTACAAGGTGAACACTTTGTGATATATTCAGTATAGGCACATTGCGATTTGAACAAAACCTGTTCAACATGTTTAGTTTGCAGAAAATATAAGATATGCTGCATTCAGATGTTATGTTCTTCACTGCTCCAAACCGGGGTATGAATAATTTGAAGCAAATATCCTTGTTGCATTGCCCTAAAACGATGCTCCCTGTTTTGACACAGTTTGCTGTAACATCTGCACAAGCAAACTGTGATTCAGAGGGATCTATTAATTACAGCTTGCTGTCCTAGACAAACTTGTTGCACATTGGAAGGTGGGTGTGCAAAGGGAAGAGGAGGGTAGGGAAGAAACATGCCACTTACCTTAAAAATGAGTTTATAAACATTTATTTCTGTAGAAAGATCTGTCTTCCTAATAAAACCACACTGTTTTTCAGCATGTGGTTAAATGTACTTGTTTATTTTGTTAACTGTGCTTATAGAATTTTAATGCTGTGCAAATGAAGGGAAAATGAACAAGGATACAGAGTTTTGTATGCTTTTGGCTTCAAACCTATACCCACTTATGAGGAGTGTGGTGAATCCAGGACCAGTTCAGACTGATTTGGAAAGATTTAGAACATGTTGAAATCAAAATGGGGCTCTTCCGAAGACGTCTGAAAATTAGTTACAGTTTTTATTTGGAGGGATATGGATACAAATAGAGTATCTCCAATACGTGGTACATTTCTTTCTAAGCTCTCCATAAAAGGACAAAACCCAAGTTAGAAAGAAGAAGAAACGAGAGGAGGGGTATAGTAACAGTTCTCATTTACAATTACATTGAGTGGTTTTAGCAAAGCTACCTAGTCCTAGTGCTTTGGGGGAGTGATGTTGAAATGATATAGTTTAGGACTGATTACACGTTGACATGCTCTTTCACTTCCTTCTGGGGGCAGACATGTTAGAATTATGTTCCTGAAGTCTTTGGGACCTGAAAGAGTTTATCGTTAGTTATTGGCTTTGGAAATGATGTACTGTATGTTTAGATCCTTTGGTTTCTGCCAATGTGTAGTCAACATCCATCATCCACCTCTATCTTGTTGCGCTGGGCGTGACTTTGTCTCAACCAAGCAGAAAACAGAAAACGCTTACCTTTTTTTTAGTCATCACAAATTGCTATCATCTGCACCTAAGTTTCTTTTCTAGGTGTACCTCTGAGATATATACCATATTTGTATAAATTGCTGAAGAAACTCATGGATGAGAGCAGTGGGATGAGAATAAGTTCCACTGCATCCAGTGACATATGTTTCTGAATAGACCTTCGGACCTTAGATCTGTTTAGGATTATGCTATAAGTTCTTTAGACATAGGAATGTTGCTTAGTTTGTTATAAAATACTTAAAAGTTTTGTATTCAATAGGGAATTACTAGCTTTCAAATAGTTGTGGAAATAGAGTTTTATTAAATAGTTGTGATAATCTGGTGTTTCGTTTCAATGGCTGTAGGGTTAATGCCAGAAGGTGTCATTATAGGAACACTTCTGGGAATGGTGCTTTATGTCCGATTTAGTCCTGATGATCAGACTGTGGCAGTATGTGCTGGCAATCGGATTTATATGTTAAATGCAACGGTAAGAGCATATTATATCAAATATACTCATTTAAATATATACATGATATTTGTATACATCTAACTGTTATAAATAGATAGAAAACATTTTTAGTCTGCAGGAGATAAGTGTATTATCATATGTGGTAAGCAAACAGATCAAACTTTTTGTATAGATTTGTCTAGTCATATATCATGATCGTAGTAAGAATGTGAATTAAAATTGTTCTCTGCACTGTCTGCTTTGATGGCATTGTGAAGAGTGCACCAGAGACACAACAGCTTAGGAGTAAGGAAATGCGGGGGAAAAAAGAAAGCATGATATGAAAAAGAAAAGTATGTGTATTTATTTGTATATTTTGCGTATTGCCATTACTGAGAAAGTAGAAGAACTTGTGGAGTCAACAAACTGCATGCCAATCATTTGTGGAGGTTTACCCTTATGTCTTTGTAAGCAATATTAACTTTAATTGAATTTATCCCTGGGTGTCCACGAAGAACAGGTAAGCATCTTTAAGTTCATGCTTAGAATTGATGAAATTAACAGGACAACAGGAGTTCACAGAATGGCGTGTAGTATTAAACATGAAAGCAAAAGATAATGCGGCAGACATAGTGCACATTCCCAGGAAGAACACATGGGAATTCCTTTGTTGTGAAATAAAATAATACAGAAACACAGTTGTGCTTTTGCATAGCTTCTATTCATTTCAAGTGGCATTAAATAAGATGGCCAAAACTCTATTGAAGATTAAAGGCAGCGTAAGTATAATTGTATAATCTGCAGCAATTAATTGCTAGTAATTAGCAAGTTGACTCTTACATTCCTAATCACATGTCTAGCTGCATGATTCTTGTGTGAGCAGGAATAAGACTAGCAACTTGGTAATTAGTGGCAGTTTACTACTGTAGTTTATGTAATTTTATTCATGCAGTTATAAATTTCCAATAAGATAGTAGTCAGTAATTTTACTGCTTTGTGCTGGCAGCTGGTAGGAAGACAGTAGTGCAAGTGGTTTAATGCTGTCCAGCAGTATCCTTTTTAAAAATATGGAGTGTAAAGGCTATTTGCCTGCAGTGATCCATATTTGCTCCTGTGATCTCTGGCTTGCAGTTGCAAACAGCAGGGCTTTACACTTCTGCAAGGGATGTCTGAACCCCCCCTGCACAACCATGGTTAAAAGAAGAATTGTCCATGGAGGGGTCCACTCCCTATGTGGATTTCCTGAAACAGGTACTGGCTTTAATGTATAAGAAACTGCCACAAAACCATAATGGTTCTATGTGAATCTCTGAAGAGCATCAAGTAATACCATTTTATTTTTAATTCTTGGAACAATTGCAGGATGAAGCTATACTCGCTGAACTGGAGGGCCATCTGGCTCCGGTAACAGCTGCAGAATTTTGTACTTGGGAGAAAAATATGCTTATTTCAGTTTCTGAAGACAGATGTTTCAAGGCAAGGACATTGTCTCTGTTTTTAACATATATCTATGTAAATTTGTATCTGTTTGCATTACACTTCGCTCAGGGTGTGATGATAAAAGGAGAAAAATTCATTGATTAAAAACAGGAGGAAGTAGAAAAATAAAACCTGTGACAGGACGTCCTTATTTGTGTCATAACACTGAACACTTCACAAAATATATTGCATTATTATCTGTTTTCCTTGATCATATCTTATCATCCCTGATTACCATTAGCATCAGTAATGACTGGACAATAATATCTTGCACTCAACGTTTTGTTCAGATGATCATTCAAATGAAGATGTTTCAGATACAAATGAAGATGTTTCTGATACCAAGCAGAAAACAGAAAAGGCTTACCCTTTTTTTATTCATCACAAATTGCTATCATCTGCATCACTGTTGTATACATGCTGACTTGTTTAATCTGCATTAAAAGTTTGCAAGAATGATTTTTTTAATAGCCAGGCATAAGCGGTTTTCTGTAAAAAACAAGTGCCCAGAATTCTGTGCTCTGAGTCAGTTAGATTAACAGTGAAAAACACTGAAACTGGGAACTGGGGAGCATTTTGTTTTTCATAGTATTCTATTGGTTATTTTTATTACAGTGTAAGTTAACATTTCTATATTGCCATGTTTTTCAAAAGGTATGGAACTATTGTACTGGATTGTTGATATATCAATCAGCAGTAATAACAGGTATGTTTTAAAAATGAAGAAACCTTTCAATATATCCATTTGTAAAGATGTTTTTCAAATATTAGCTGTGTGTGTTCAAACTGGCCAGTCTAACTACTTACAAAATACATGATCAGAATCATGGAATAAGATCTAAATTCAGTCCCATAGCATTACTATTCTCATTCTGGTTCAGAGTCCTCACATATAGTGTAATGGGTAGGTTAACGGATTTCTCTTGGCTCACTTTTTTGTGAGCAGACAGAAGGCCTTACATTTAATAAATCACTTGGTACAGTGGTGCCCCACATGACGACGATAATTCATTCAGTGAAAATTGCTGTTTAGCAAAATCATCGTCTAGCGAAAACAGTGTCCCTACTGGAATGCATTGAAACCCGTTTAATGCATTCCAATGGGGAAAATACCCCATCATCCAGGGAAGATCACCCATAGGGCAGCCATTTTACGAGTGCTAATCAGCTGTAAAAATGGCTGTCCTGTGAAGCATGGGTCCCAAAAACATAGGGAAGCCATTTTGCGAAGCCGACGATCAGCTGTAGAAATCATCGTCTTGCAAAAAAATGGTCCGCGAAGCATGGACCAAATCAACGTCCAGTGAAAATTGCCCATTGAAACCACTGATTTGTGAATCGCTATAGCGATCGCAAAATGTCTATTTAAAAAGCTGCCACCAGCCCTTCCTTCTCATGCAACAGACTGGAGGGGTATCCCTGTCGTAGGAAATACAGTTTCCTCAATAGCAAACCTCCAAGCCTAAGCTTATCTTTTTTTTTATTAACTGGGGAAGTTCCTAGTATGTGACCAGAGGTGATGAACTTTTAAATAACCTGAATTTTATCTAAGTAGTGGTAAGATTTATTACACATAAAGAAAAAGAGAACAACACAGTAAAAAGGAGAAAAAAGTAAAGGTAAAACCTTACAAGGTGCCATCTCTGGACATAACATAATGTAAACAAAGTATATCTTCAATACTCAGGCATTTCGCAGATTTTTTTCTGATTTTTCATACACTTACATTATTATATTATTCACACTCAATAAATTTATGATAATTGATGGTTAGTTGGAAGTCTACAGCCTTGCTGGTAAATTCAGTAATAATCTGTGCCGTCCAATATTACTCAACAGAGGTTAATGGGGCATTAGCCACATACAGTATTATATCTGTAATATAGAATAGTTTTAAGGCAGTAAAATATACTACTGCTCCATTTGCTGTGTGCAGGTCATTTGGTGTGATAGAGTTCAACATGCTGTATTCATCATTCAATGGTTTTTGGGGTGTTTCTTTTTTTGCACAGCATTTCCTCTTCTAAGTCTGTTTATCGATGAAGAAAATAAGCAGATTATCACTGGATGTGCAGATGGACAGGTGCGAAACATACACAGAATTTAATTACTGGTGATTTGATTGTTACAAAATTATATAACAAAAATATGCCTTTTGTTTGATTAGGACAGGAGAAAAACATCCCATCTGTACAGCACCCATGTTTTTCATGCAAAAGGTTTGAGGCATCAATCCCTGTCATTTCCAGGATGGGAAGCCCATTTTCTAAAACCTGGTGATACGCTGCCAGTTGGTTAAAAGTAATGAACTAAGTGGCACAATCATCTGCTTCAGCGTTAGACAGCCTTTTTTAGTTTGAATGCTCCTAATAATGACAGTAATACTATAAAGTCTATTTTATCTAAGCTGTATAGGTATGGATTCTGACAGATTATCTCAGAGTCTCTGTAACTAGAAGTGCAGAAGATAAAACATGAGGTGGTATACATACCAAACAAATTTCATCATTGAGTGTAGCCCCCAGGATTGTTATGTGTATGCTTTGCTGAATTTGTTTCTGCTTTATAGTTGTATATTTTATAATGTATTTTTATATAAATAAAAATTTCACTGCATATGAAAAAAGAAATGCAAATTTTATTTCACTTACACTTTGTTAGCACATCAAAACTGGTAGATGTGTTTTCTTTATACATACTGGAATACATCTAGCTTAAATCAAAGACTATTGATTTAAATATCAACTTGAAATTGTTCAATGCCAAAGTTCCATTTCAAAGTCAGGTTGGAAAGAATGATAATCTGTGTTTCAAATATGCTGTATCACATTGATAAATTTGGGTGTCCAGTGACCTTACCATTGAATTTTGGTAATGATATCAGGAACATACTGCTTATTTTATGACAACTCTGGAAAAACAGGTTTATGATGACTCTTCTCTTTCAGCTGTGGATCTTCAGCTTAAATAGTGGGCATCAGTATCGCTGTGTAGTTCGTATCGATGTAAAGAAAGAGAGAGAGAAGTTTTACAACAAAATGAAGAAACGAGGGCATTTGGGTAACAAGAATTTTTCCAGAAAATATTTTAAAGTATTATTAACTGATAATGTACTTGAAATGTATTTTTAAAATGCAGAGTTCTTGATCAGAATGGATGTTAATTTATTTTATTTATTTATATCTTGTCTTTCTCCCTTGTGAGGACCAACTTTTTAATTTAAAAAATTAAAATCATAATTAAAAATAGAGTAATCAAACATTTAAAACTATGACATAGAACTATTTAAAAATATTGGCTGAAATCCTGTTGCTTTGCACAGTCAGTTGCACTGTAATAGGCCAGTTGAGTCAACTGCTTCCCAAGTTCCATTGATTCAAATGGGCCTACTCTAAGTGCAATTTAATTTTGCATAGTAAATCACAGAATAAGCCCACTTGAACCCATGAAACATAGAGGGAAATTAACTCACCTAATCCCCAATAAAGGATTCTTATGCTAAGCAACAAGATTTCAGCCATTATTTAAAAACTATAAAACCAAAAGTTCCATAGTTTCTCAATTGCCTGCTGAATCCCCAGCAGGCAATCCCCTGCTGAATCCCCTATCTCAATTGCCTGCTGAATCCCCAAATGCTTCTCTAAATAGGTGGATCTTCAGTTGCTGGAAAGGAAGGTGGGATTCCATAATCTGAAAACAGCTACAGAAAAAGGCCTCTCTCAAATTCTCAGTAGCCATCCTTGTGGTGGGACTGAGGGAAGGCACTCCCTTGTCACACATAGCAACATAGTACCATACTATGCTTTAGCACAGTGGTTCTTAACGTGGGCAATAATGCCCCCCAAGGGACGATTTCATTTTTCAGGGGGGCGGTAGAACGAAAAGGGGCGGCGTGGGGGTGCTGGAGCAG